TGACACTTCAAATTGTAGTTATTTCTCAGTCTATTCCCCAGCTCCCCTGGCCCCCATAGCAGCCTAAGGGCTTTGAGGGAAGGCATGAGGCCCTGAGTTAGGAACCACCACCACTTCTGGAGACATTCATCCCTTGAGAGGCTGAAGATCTTTTTTGACACTTATAGGTGAGTGCTTTATTCTTAGAATCCTCATTCCACCACTTGCTAATTCAACAACAATAATAGTAACTAAATCTTACGTTCATACTGTATGCTTTTACAATGAGAATTAGTCTTTATTTCCTCCAGCTGAACCTGTTGCCATCAGTTTGAAAAAACCACACGCTAGACTCAGAACATTAGCAGTCTCCTGTGAGTAAGGGAGGATGTAAAGTGCTGTGAGGCAGGCCCAGAGGATAGGTTGCTGCTGAACTCCAGGAAAGGTTCTGTGGCTTAAATGACCCATCAAAGCTGCAACCCACTCAAATGTGGTGTAAATCAACCCAGACATTCGTGGTTCCTGATTTGAAAAGACGGCCAGTTGTGGTGGACAATTATCTAGTAAACAGCTATTCTCAACATCTCAAAGGTGCTTGGTCAGGGATGTGAGGTCCATCTAAATAGTGTTCAGCATCTGAACTCAAGGGTGAGATGGATCACGAGATATACAATGAGGTCCATTCTAGCCAACATGATTAAGTTCAAGGACATATTACAGATCTAGAAGAGACCTGGGAAGCAGGCCATTTACAGTTGTAGAGGGTATGACTAGAAAGAGTAGGAAGAATCTTTGTTATTTGTGCATGTCTTTGTTCTTGGTTCCTCTACTACTATCTCAGAAAACATAGTTCCTCTTTTGTCTTCAAACTTTATACTTATCTGGGCAGTTATATATTTGGTTCTGATAACCTTCATTTGGATCTTTTCTTTCACTCACATAGCATATCCAGAGCCAGTCTAAGTAGTCTCATGCCAGTAGTCAGAGAAGCAGTATGAGCATGACAGGGCTTTTCTGAACCTCCTATAGCTCTGTGCCTCTTGTGTGCCTAGGGGCTTGCCCCCTGCTCTCTTCTTCCATGCTTTTCTATGATACCAGACCGGCTATTATCACTGGCCTCTGCAAAATAGAGTTGTCACCACTCTACTTTTTTTTTTTTAATAGGAGGAATTAAAGAGATTATTGGAGTTTCATTAGAAGTAGAACCAATCTTAACTGGGTGTATTTGTCTATCCAACTTTTGATATTCTGGGTTAGGTAACCATTTCCTTCAAAAATATTTCCTCTGAAAGAGATCTTGATGTCTCTCTTCTCCTTCCCTCCCTTCCTCCTTTTTTCTGCCTTCCTTTCTCAGTCCTTCCCTTCTCTCTCTCACTCTGTGAAAAGATTACAAGAAAAATTTAAATTGACACTACATCTTCAGCTAAAGCTTTTTTCTGCGTATGTTTTGATTCTAGAAAGAAATTTGGCAAAACTCACTAAGACAGTTTGTCCCAGCGATTTCACTTCAAATAGTTTATTCTAAGAAAAGAAAAGGAATCTTCTTAAAGACATGTCCAGGGCATTCATTTCAAAGTTTCTTGTAACCATTGAACATGGAAACAAAATGATTATAGTCACATAACTTAATGCATCCAGTAAAAATCCTATTTTGAAAACTATTTCATGAAATGGAAAATGCTCATGATATGATGATGCTATGGAACAAAAAAAGAATTAGAAAAAAAAGCATCTATTGAATCTTTTTATTATGATCCATTTTTTTTCTAAAGAGATTGAGTAATGATATGTGGCATAAGTAATACAGAGAAAGTAAATATTCATATATGCTGGCATTCCAGAATTTAACTGCCATTAGTAGGGTCGCAGATGATTTTTACTTTTTGTTCTTTTACAATTTTCTGTATTTTCCAAGTGTTCTTCTGGGAACGTGTATTGTTTTATTCATTCATTCACTTTTCCTATAAACATGTAGTGACTATTAAATGCCAATCACTATGCTTTGTGTTGAAGAGATAAACAGGTATGTTCTTGGTCCTGCACAAATATCAGAATACTTTAAAATTAGGAAGAAGCATTTTGAAAAATTTAGTTTGCTTAACTCAATAATTCTGCTTCTAGTAATCTTTCCTGAGAAATAATCAAGAAACCAAAACCAAAATTATCATATAGAAATGTTTTTTAGCATAATAGCAAAAAAATTCTTAAAAATCACCTCAGTCAAATAATAGTTAAAGTAATAACAGCACATCCATAAAACAAACTATAGAAAGCCATTAAGATTATGTTACTGAAGATTTTTAGTAACATGAGAAGGTTATATTGTTTTCCACTAAACACCAATAGAAAAAAAGGTAGAAAATTATATAGAATCTGATCTAAACTGTGTAGTGTAATAGTCATAAAAGAGAAATTCAAATGTTAACAGGTGTTATTTTTGCCTGCACAGTAATGTTTGGCTTTATATCTGTGCTCTTCGTATTTCCCAGGTTTTCTACAATGAGTAAGGTTTAATTTTATAGTCAGGAAAACAGTGTTACTCTGATATTTAAAAACTTTGATTCAGTTAATACAATCAAAATTTTGATTATATCAAAAACATCAATCTTACATTGCAAGAGAAATTTAGAAAACTCCTGGGCAAGCTTCTTAAATTCCTAGCCGTAGTTTCTTAGGAACAACATAGTTGCCTCTTATTCCTGAATTAGATGTCTTAGCTGCATAGAGGGAGTTGAATTAGAATCCCAAGTGTTTTATGATTCTAATGAATTTTCCTGTTGAAAAGTCAAGGAACAATCAAAGAGATAATTTAGTATTTCCTGGAAGTTTGCATTGGCATGCTGGAGAGGAAGGGAGATAATTCACATGGAGAAGCTTCTGCTCCCTCTATTTCTAAAGCATCCTTGCAAGAGAATGAATGACCCTGCAAACTGGGACTACATTATATCAGAAGGTCTGAGGGAATTAATTTACTGTGTGCTTTTGAGGCTGAGCAAGGAAAAATAGAAGGAGCACTTGGAGGAGTTGGGCATAGGTCCGGAAGCCTCACCCCTAACTCTATCTTGGACTTCAGTCTACACATCCTGCTAGTCTTGCTGCTGACATGGCTTGCCACCTGGCACCAGATACCCGCTGACTTCCCTGAGCAGTTGTCACTCAAGGTCAGGGTCCTGTCTGTGGTTTGCCTAGAGAGAAAAAACAGTGGAGCCCAAGCACCAGTGTCAAGGCAGAAAGGCTATACTTGGCTCCCTGTCCAATCTACTGTGAAGATTTTGAGCCTTACTATTGTCTTCTAAGTTCCAAGGGAAAGGAAAGAACTGGGCTGTGGAACACGTTGATTGTTTTAGTCAAAGCCAGAGAGCTGTCTGCTGGTGCTTATGCTGACTGATACATCTCCCTTGTGCTCACACAGGTCCCAAATGCAGGAATAACACTAACCTCCCCTCTGTTTAGGGGTCATAAGAGAGTGGGTGTAAGGCTGATGGTACCAAGTTTCACTGCACCTATGTTCAGTTGTAGATCACACTATGCATTTCTAAGTTGAAGGGAGGTGTTGTGAGGTTAAAGCAGCATATCAGTGCAGAAGACTTCCATACAGATCTCACTTTCAGCAAACTGAATACCTGAAAACCAGAGTCATTGAAGAGATCAATTTATAGAAGAATTCAGTTCACTAATACTTTGAGTAATTGGGTTTCCTTCTGCATTTAAAATATAATCTATTCACCACAACTTGTTTTCCACACTGTATGGCATGCATATGATAGCTGTATAAAGGTAGATATACATGGAACTTAGAATCCAGCATTCAGACACCACTGCAAAGGATGGAAACAGCTTTATCTGACATAGAAGTGTTCATTGACCATGGAAGAAGAAAAAGACTTAAAATCAATTGCAAATTATCTACAGTCTTCAGGGAAAGGGATTAGTAATTTTGGATATTTTTGGAAGTGTTTTCCTGGCTCCTTCTTTGGGTTTCTTATAGTGGATTTATGTCAGAAAGGCCATCAAAAAAAACCATCTTAAAATCAGAGTGGCATGTGTTTTATACATAATTCCACATACAAGTTAATATTTAATGCTTGTGCACAGAGATGTATGTTACGGACCTAAGAAACTCACAAAAAATAAATACAAATCCAATTGTACTCTTAGATCTGCTTTCCATTATGTCACCCGAGGAGTCCCCTGCCTTCCGAACGCTTTCTTCAGTGTTGAAAATGCCAACCTTCACTTTCAATAAGCTTCCAAAACCCTAACCTGTTGGTTGCAGAAGAGGAGAGCTCTCAAATGTTTTAACTACACATGCTTCTCTGTGAATACAGACCGGCTAAAAACATTGATCTGATAATGCAAAAAAAAAATTTAGAAAAACTCCTGGGCAAGCTTCTTAAATTCCTAGCTACAGTTTCTTGGGTAAATATAGTTGCTTCTCATTTCTGAATGAGAACTCTTAGCTGCATACAGGGAGTTGAATTAGAATCCCAAGGATTTTATGAGTCTAATGAAATGCTCTGTGCATCCAGATACTACTAAAGCATTGAGGGGGAAGAAGAAAGTCCCCAAATCTTCAGGAAAGAATGAAAAATGAGAAAATCTGCATCAAATCAAGACTCCCCTGCCCCAAATAGCAGACCTGTGGGGACTGACAAGGCCAGATCTTGAGTATCCCCTTCACACTTTAAGGGCAAAAGAGGAAGGAATGTATAGGAAAAAGCAAGAGGAATTGAATGGAAAGTGTCAGGGAGATGAGAGAAGGGATGAGAAAAGAATGTTGCATGAAGAAAAAAGGGGACATGTAAAGAAAGGGAGACTGATGCTGAGAGAAAAGGAGAAGAAAGAGGAAATGGAACAGAAAATAGAGAGAGGAGATAGAGTCCTCCCATGATTTATCAGGCTGCCAGTAATACGCAGGGCAAGGTGGCCGCCGTCTACCTTGAAACATGCACATAATCCAACCCCAGACTCCATCGTGAACTCTGGCCCAATTTCTCCCTTTTCCACAAGGACAGACTCACCGATCAAAGGCCACGGCGGTCATGGAGTAGATGCTAGCAAAGACAGCAGCGATGGGGAAGAAGTTGTGGAATTTGCAGTAGAACAGGCCATAGTACCACTCGTTGTGGACAGCATACGTAAAGTTCACCACTGTATTGAAGGCAGCCATGGAGGCCTCCGCGAAGGCCAGGTTGACCAGAAAATAGTTGGTCACTGTCCTCATTCTCTTATGAGCCAAGATGATCCACATCACCACCACATTGCCCACCACCGAGGTCACCACAATGACTGTGTAGGCCGCTGCCCAGAGGACAATTTGCCAGGCTGGCTGCACGAACTGGTTGGGCTCCGAGGTGTTGGTGGAAATGTTTGGGAACAGGTCTGAGTCCACTGGGAGCACGTTATCCATTCCTCTGATGAGAGGCTAAACTCTTCTCTTTGCTCACACACCCCCTTTGCAGCAGGATCCTGAGATCAGCTCCTGGCTTCAGTCCTGCTCAGCCAAGACAGAAGAGCCCAGGCTCGCCCTGGGCAGAACTCTCTCTTTGTAAGCTGGAGACTTGCCACTCAGAAGATAAAGGCTTCTGGATGCACTGTCTGCTCCTCGTGGCTCTGAATTCCTCCACTTTCAAGCTTTGGGGAGCATTTGAGTTCAGAAATTTCAAGACAGCTTCTCTTCTGCGTTGGGCTGGAAAAGGCAAGAAATTCCAAGGGTCACTGTTCCAGGAAGCAGAGACCACGCTGTCTTTCTGCACCTGCTGGGGATTACAATTCCTATTTCTCCTGCCTATAGGAGGAAAGGCAAAGCGTGAGGTCTCGGAGGCGAACCGGGATGCTCATCACAGCGCGACCTGTAAAAGTTCTGAGTCTGTGGCCGGGATTCTGGAGGTTGGTGTCCAGCTGGAGATTTTTCCTTTGCTTTCGCTGCCGCACCGCCGCCGCCGCCGCCGCCGCCGCCACAGTTTACAGTTTCGCAGAGCCTCTAATCTCTGTCCTGCTCTGCTGGGGAGTTAGCAGAACCTCAGCAGGCTGTGCGCGAGGCTTTTATAGCCCGCTGCAGAGACGTCACCGGGAAGGGGCAGTACCTGGGCTGAGTACTTCCAGTCCCCGCGCAAAGAGCGGCAGCTGCACCAGCTGTTGGCAACTGTCACACTCCACCGTCGCAGCCACCACGCCTTTTGCTGCTTACCTGCTGAGGGAGTCTGCAAGCTGGGCGCCCCCACGCACTCCGCGAGGGGGCGCTAGGTGGCTTTGGAGTAATTGCGCCAGATGGGGTCTGCAGCTGGAAGCACAGCTGCACCAAAGGGAAAGGAAGATTGTGTGAGCCCTGTGATGATGGACTCAAGTTCCAGAAACAGCAAATTGGAGCCCTGCGACAGCTCTGCGGAGGCGTTTGCTTTTGGTGGTGGGAGTCAGGCAAGCGTGGGGGCGACGTGCCAGTGCCGCGCTCCAGGCCGCGCTCCAGTCGCACTGCATCGGGGGTTCGCTCTAGCTGCTACCCATAAGCCAGAGGCGCCGGGTTCCAAGTGTCCGGAAAACAACTTTCCTGAGGTCGTGTTTAAGAAACACTCCCCAAACACTTACTTTCTTTCCCTCACACGCCAAATTTCCTGGGAAGCGTTGATAGACTCTAAGCTTTGAGAACACCTTTCCCAAGCCCCCGAAGGTTTGACCACTCAGTTTTTGAGAAGTCCCAGCTGAATCACCTGGAAGAGCCCGTAGCACAGGCAGTGGGAACTGGGCTGCTCTCCCTGCGAAGCTTGGTGAGCGCAGGAGTCACCCGTAAGATGTGCGACTCTGGGATTTCTTCCAGCACCCGCTGTGGGCTCGCGTTCACCTCCCGCGGACCCGAGAGATTTGCCTCAGTCCCTCTGCATGCTTCGGGTAAGCGCGGGGCCTCGGGTGGTGCCCAGGCTTTTCCCTCCCTTCCTAGGTTTTTATAGGACCGGGAGGGCAGATCTTTTAGCCTTCTGTCTCCACCCCTGTCGGGAATCTAGGCCTCAACTCCCATTTGAAGACAATTTCAATCGGCTGAGCTGGGACCTGGTACTGGGAGGGGGTGGGTATTGCCCGCCAGTGGCGCGAAGCGTTCTGGAGGAACCGAGATGGGCAGAAATTCAGAGTTCCTTCCAGCCAGACTACCCAGGAGACACGGCTCCGCTGGGGAACCCAACCTTTGGAGTGTTTCTGCCGCCCAGCTACCCTGTTGCCTGCTCCGCCTCCTTCACTGCGGGGATGGGAGCTGCGGGACGTGGATGCGGATGGGTAGCCCGCAGGGCGCCGAGGTTTGAGTTGGCGCACGCTACTCCATAACAGGAGCGGTGTTTACGCAGTAGCCCTGGCTGGCTGCGCACCTCTGCGGCAAGTGCGTACGTAAACCTTTCGCGGAAAGCACTTGAAGGCTTAGAAATTTACCAAATAGGTTTATACCAGGCTAAAATTGGATCATTTCGCGATGACGCTGAACCTGCTAATCCATCCTGGTTTTGTTGAAGCCTAGATTTCAGTGTTTATATAAACCGCACCTTCCTTACACTGCCCTCCAAAAACCCCTTCAAACCTAAAGGGGAACCTCCAGCTATGTCTTGAGGAGAAAATTACCCCTTCAGTTAGTGGAGCAGCAAAGGAGAGCCTTCTCTAATTGCTGCTTCCACCATCTCCCAGAGCTGAAGAAGGGTGTGCGTGTACGTGCGTGGCGTGCATGCGACTCCCTTTAATTTCTTTTCCTTCACTCTGTGCAGTGGGAGGCTGGCTCATGTTTTCCAACAGGAACTTTATAGGATGCTTGGAGTGAAGAAAACTAGTAAACCTAAGCCTATAATACAAACTAAAGATAAAATAAGTATTTATCCTCCATTAGTAATCCCAGCTGATAGCCTGAGCCAGGTACTACTGGGCAAAAATTAGAGGCAATTTAGAAGAAAGAAGTAATTAATTATACAAAACAGGAAGCATCATGATGAACGAATATACTAGACACTGTAAGAGAGAAGGGGTGGGGCATACATCTAACCTTGACAGTGAAAGAAATTAGGGAGAGAGAAGAAAATTGTATGGTGAAGAATACTGAAGTATGTGTTAAGGGCTGAGAAGAGAATGAGCGTGATAGGTAACTATTCCAGATAGGTGTTTTCTATGTCAAGCCATGTCACCCTGCTTCAAGTCTCACAAGGACTCCTCAACTCACGTAGAACACGCAGGATTCCTCACGCTGGCTTTTCAAGGGTTGCTATTCCCTGCTTTGAACTATCCCTGTTCCCACTTCCTTATGGCAGGTAGCCATGTCCTAGGAGTAGGTATAATTTACTAAGGTGAATTCCTTTCCCACAGAAAGCAAAGCAAATTCACAATGAGTTTGCATTAAAATAAACACCTCAACCATACAGTAACTAACAGAAGTTGTGTTTGGTTCACAGGCATTCAGAGAGCTGTTTCTAACATCACCCTACTACCAAGGAGTGACTTTCCTTCTCCTCACATACAGATAACTTGTAACACAATTATAGATAAGACCTTACATGCAATTTTTTTTCCTTCCAAGAGTTAATAACTCTTAGCACCTTTTCTCCACTCCCCTTTCTATTGAATGCTGCCCTTGACCCACAACAGACCCATCAGTCTCAAGGTAAATCCTGTTAGCAACTTAGTACAACTCCCTCCTTATTTGTCCAAACTCTTTAAAACAGTATAGCCAGAAGTACAAATATACACAATACTCAACACATATAAGCATAGACAAAAACAAGTCTTCCACTGTACATTTGATTTTTCTCCAAATTTCATCTGAATACTTGAGAGTCAGTGGACACAGTCATCATTTTCAATAGCTGAATAGTAGTCTATGGCATGCATGTACCAAGGCTTATCCCTGCCCTTCCCAATTCATGAAATTGCACTTTGTTTCCAGTTTTTCCTATAAAAGACAATGATGAAATACACATTTTTACATATATCTCCCAAGTCTGATGTTTTATTTCTATGGGATATATTCCCACAGAAATATGTTTATATTCATATGTGAATGGATTTGTGTTATGTATTTCTATTTAATGTCACCATATTGTCTTCCAAAAGGGTATAACACTGTTATATTTCATTGGCAATTACTCCCTTCTCTGACATCTACTCTAAAAATAAGTATTAAGTCATTTTAGTTTTGACAGTCTAAAATATATAAATATAACTTTGCTTACACATAGACTTTATTTTCCTGACTGCTAGAGAATTTGAACTTCTTTTAAGAAGATTTTTTTTCCCTGTAGATTATCTATTCACATCTCTTGTCTCTTTTCCTGCTGGATTACCTTGACTCATTTTTTTCTAAACAATTTTTGTATAAGTGTAAACATTATGCCTGTCATAAGTATTTCAAATTCTTTTCTAATATTGCTGCTCAGCTCCTGTATTTGTGTTTGTCATAAAAACTTAAGTAACTTTTATGTAGTCTGTATTTACTTCAGTAGTATTAGATTTTGAGTCTTGTTTTAAAAATGCTTACCAAATCCACATTTTTTCACATAATCTCCTGGTTATTGTTGTTGTTCATTGTTTCACTTTTTTTTACATTTCAGTCTTTAATTCACCTGGAATTTTTAGTTTTTGTTATGTAAAATATTCTTTTTAGTTAATAAAGACAGCTACTTCCATTTTTTGTAGTTAATTAAACCATTTATAGTTATTATAGGTTAATTTTCAAATACATGTGATTTAATATTTTTATTTTCCAATTTTTCCCACTGACCCATTTGTCTGTTCTTACAGCAGTATCATATGATAGATATGTATATAATTTATATGATCTCCTACTTTTCCTTGCCCTTCTGCAATTAGAGAGACATGATTAATTCAGTTAAAAGTTGTGAGTGGCAACAATGAGTATCACTTCTAGGCTGAAGCATAAAAATGTGTGTGTGTGTGTGTGTGTGTAAGAAAGAGAAAGAGATAAAGAGACAATATGATAGGTTTCAATCACCTTGGATCCTGAGTGACTACATAATGTAGGCTTATCTAATTTGAATTGACACTTTTAAACTTTTACAAATTTATTCAGTTTTTCAAAAGTCAAACAAAAATTGCATTAGGATTCTCATTGAAACTGGCTGAATTTATTTTTGACAAAATAGATCTTTTTATTATTTTTATTAAAGTAATATTGATTTACAACACAGTAAGTGTTTTAAGAAAACAGGTTTATATCCTTTCAAACGTATGTGACCACACCATACCTACCAACACAAAATGGACATTTTTGATAAGTCCATTTTTCATGACTATAGTCATGAAATATAGTATGCCTTCCCATATCTTCAAGTCTTCTTTTATGCCTTTCAAAAAATTTAGTTAAAATAAATCCATTTTTTTATGCAACAAATATTTATTGCACATGTACTGCCATATGAGTGGCAAGGTGATGTGTTAGACGCAAAGTTCAGCTCTCAGGAGTGTGTTCTGGAGATGATCATGGAACTATTGAGTGATTTTTAACCTTCATGAAATAGGTCCCATCATTTGATGAGCTTTATTTCCATATATCTGTGGCTTTTATTTTTCTTGTAAATGAAATATTTTTTATGTTTTTTCCAATATCAAAGAAAACTTATTCCTTTCTGTATATATATATATTTATATTTTTCCTTAGTTTTCAATCCTTAGTGTTTTCTTCTCTCATTGAATTTCCCTATTACATTTAAAATGGTGATTGCAGGTGTTTCTGTATAGTTTTTC